AAATAGCAAAGTGTCTGGCACAGTACATTTTCAGTAAATTCTTAGTATTTTTTTTAGATAAACATGAGAGTCTTCATTTTTACATTATTTCCTGTGAGATGCTTTAGCAATTCACAAAGTCTCCAAAATTGAATCTATAGCTACCGAATGTATTATTATTTTTTAGTCCTATTCTAGTTCTCTCTCCCCAACAAATTAGGTCCATTTTGCAGTTGCTTCAAAATTGTCCATTTTAGCAAAAGAAAGGTTTTGGAAACAGAAGGGCCAAGATGAAGTCCTAGATACAACAATGTACAGATTCGTGACCTTGGAGAATATAGTCAAATTTCCTAATAATTTTGCTTTCTTAATTGCAAATTATTCTGTCTTATAGTCTAGATTTTTTGTTTGTTTATTTTTTTGGAGAGGTTGTAAATTCTTAGTATTATTTTTCACTACTGTGTCTTTTATTGTAGTGATCCTTCAGACTAGAATGCTTCCCTATTACTACTCTGGGTTTTATCTTGTTAACTCCCTTCTTGTCCTATAGGTTTCAGGATCCCAGAAGCCTTGCCTCATTCACAGTCTGAGTGGTCTTCTGGTACTTGTCACATCATAGTATAGTGATCTGTTCACAAGCATGTCCCTCTGACTTGAAAGCAGAGGCCAAATCTCATCAATTGTTCTGTTTCAAATGCCTAGCAAAGAGGTGTCTAGGCACCTCTAGTTTTCCCTGGGACTGTTTCAGTTTTAGCACTGAAAGTTTCATGTCTCCAGAATCCCACAGTTCCAGGCAAACTGGACAGTCACCTTGCCACTGGTCTAAAACATAATACTAGTTCAATCAATAAATTTGTTTACCTAAAATTACCTAAGCAGATTATCTTTGGTGAGTCACTTTTCCTTCCTGGGCTTAATTTCTCCAACTATAACTAAAAAGTTTAAACAAAGTAATATTTAAGGCCCTTTTATTTTTTAAAAAATATTTAGTTATTTATTTTACATTGTCTTTTTTTGGGGGGGTGGATTAGGTTTATTTTTATTTACTTTTTTTTTTTAACTGGAGGGACTGGGGATTGAACCCAGGATCTCTTGCATGCTAAGCACACATTCTACCACTGAGCTATACCAATCCCTTAAGGCCCTTTTAAACTCTGACATTTTAGAATTTGATGTCACATTTATGGCCTGCCTACATGAATCATTTTACCTCACTTACAGTACAAGGAAATCTTAATTAGGTACTCTCTATTAATTTTTTAAAGCATTGCTGAAAATACTCATAAATTAAGTAAAAAGAGTAACATATAAAGCTTTTATATATGGTAAGATTCCAATTCTATAAAATATGTCTATTTTTCTGTTTTAGAAAAGAAAAGGGAACATAATTATGAATTTATTTTTATTGTGGATTTTCCCTACTTTTTGAATTCTCAAACATCTCTTCAATGATCATATATTTTATAGTCAGCAGATAATACCTACAAAACACCCGTGTTTTTTATGAGGCAGTGGGTGTACTTTAAATAATTATTTTTCAGAAAATCGCTACCTTTCTGTGAAGTTGTTGGCAAAAGTTAGGTGACTGATTACATGTTTCTTGTAGTACAGTGCTTCTCAAACCTTAATGTAGGTCTGGGATGGGCCTGTGATTCTGCATTTCTAACAAACTTCCAGATAATGCCAGTGCTCCTGGTCCATGGACCACATTTTGAGTAAGAGACTTTCATGTATATGAATTTCAATACACATTTGACTATCTATTACAAAATTTTTACCATTCTATGCCTTTGGTAGTGCTTCCCAAAATGACACACTGGGGTAAATATAGGAGGCTTCTCACAGTCAACTTTCTGAGAATTGAGGAGATCAATACCTTGGGAATCTCTGTGAACTCTTTGAGGTATAGTGGCTGAGAGTTCCTGCTTCAGAGTCAATTGTTTTTTGTAGACAAGGAGTCAAATGCAACAAAACACAAAATACCAGAGCATTATGTTGACAGATGGTACGTTACTCAAAATAGGTAACTGCCCCTTTCTCTATGCCCCTCACAGAGCTCCTAGTACAGTTGTGTTTGAATGAAGAAATGAGCTTAATTATATAATAACAGCTAACATTTGAATACTTCCTGTAGGTTTAAAGTACTGGTATTCAAATTTCAGTGTGTGTGATAATTATCTGGAGAAGTAGCTGAAATATAGATTCCTGAACTGTACCCTCAGAAATTCTGATTCTGGGCAGTGGAGTTCAAGAATCTGTATTTTTAACAGGTATCCAGATGACTCTAATGTAGATGTCTCTGGACCATCACTGCTTTTAAACATAAGCACTGGTTTTAAACATAAGGAAAAAAAATACCACAATCTATAGTAAGAAATACATTTTATAACAAGATCTAGTTCACACACACATTTATATACATATACATCTGAAACAAAATTTAACAAAGCAATACTAAGACTTACTATGTGTTATTACAGCCTGATATTTTCTATTTTATTCAATTTTGTTACAAAAACATTGCCCACAACCAACCAAATGGATTTCACATCATTTATCTCATTTGATCCTCTTATCAGTGTTGTAAGGTAAGCACTCTTAACTGTACCTTTTTTATTTGGAAACTTAACTTCAGGAAGATTAATGTGCCCAATGTTACATGTTGAGGAAGTGGCAGAGCTGGAATTCAAACTAAGAATGCCTGGCCTTAAATGGCCCTGACCTGCCCTAACACGCACATAGACATCCTGAAAAAACCCAGCAATCCTCTAATTTTGGAGTACATTCAGAAAATTTCTGGTTTTCCCAGTTGAGTCCCATCACATTTGAATACCAATTTGAAATTTCTAAGAGAAAAAGAATTTGACTCAACTTGGACCAGGTGTGAACTCTGATCTCTTCTGCTGTTGTCAAAAGGATGCTGAGGTTGGGTCACCTAGCACAGACATGGCCATCTAAGCCCTACAGCAAGGCCTGAATTGGGGGAGATTTCAAAGAAAGAGCAAAGGGCTCAGCAGTCACATAGAAGCATATTTACTATACCTGCATTTCTCCTCATTTGGGAAGGGGGATTTTCTGTCTCCCTCTCCAGAAAAGTCCTCACTGCAGCATCCTATCAGGAAAAACTAGAACAGTATAATCCACATCTCCTCCATTTCACAACCCCCTGCCAAATTTCTGTCCCCTTCATCTCTCCAAGTACACAGCAGGGATAGTCCTGGAAGATCTCATCTGAGGCAAAGGAGAATGTCGAAACATAAAGGACATCTCCTTCAGTCTCTGTGACTGAGGACAGCGACTGACTTTCTGGGTCATTAAAGACCTTAGGAGATTCAATAGTAATTGATTTCTCTCCATGTTTGGGATCGTCACTGTTGTCTCCTTCATTCCTGGGTCCCAGCAGCAGGTGTTGGCCTACAGTTCTGAAAATTTGATAGTGTTTACTACATAATTCAAACTTAGCATCCAAGATACCATTTTAACCTTTTGAAAAATGAAAAATTGCAAGATTCTCTCAAAATTGTTCAATAAAGAAAAAAGGCATTATTAGCCTTCTTAAAAAGTATTCAAAATAGAAAATTAATATGGCAATTCTTTAACACATGTTCCTTTCTTCTATTATTGCAGACACACACCTCTTATGAAGACCAGCTATGGAAGTTTAAACTATGCCAAGAAACACAAGACTAATTAAATCAAAAGGTTATAAAAGCATATGAAATTTTTAAATGCCTAAATCTTTTTCAGACAAATCAAAGAGTGCTTTCATCTCAATCATTTGTTTTCTTCCCATTCCTGAGGAAGATCGACAGTTTCTTTGATTAAAAGAACAGTTTGATGAAGTGTTTTTTAAAAGAATATTCTTAGGATTTTACTTTCTGTTATTTTCAATATTCTTAAAAGTTTTAGAATATTTTCTCTCTTTAACATGGCAAAATGGCAAAATAAAGACTGATTTTTAACTTGCCTTATAAATAGAATTTTAATAATGTTTATTTCTAATTAAACTCTAAAATTTTATTAAAATAAAAACAATCTCTAAACCCTAACTCAGCAAGTATTTTCCTTTTCTTCCCATTCTTTCACTTTTGTGTTTTTGCATAATGCTAATTCTAGGATTGTACTTTTTCTCTTTGTTGACAACAACAATAAAGGTGCTTTCTTTTGCAGAAGTTTGTGCACAGTCATTATAAATATCACTTCTAAGTCTTTTGGGCATTGCTATTATGTCTCACATGCTTTCATCTGGAAGAATTTGATGTGTATTTTAACCACCATTGTTTTATTCATTACTCATATTTACCTGAGTGAAGATAACATCTACATCTCGCCAAAGTAATGCCATTGGTCAACCCAATGAAATGTGAAAAGTAATATACATTCCCAGTTCCAATAAGTGAACACTTTAACAGTATTACTATTACTTTAATAAACACTGCATTTCTCTTTAGAAAATAAATACATCAGGAAATAAATGTTTCACAGGAAAAAAATTAACAAATTAAGTGAAACTCTTTTAGGAAGGAAGAGGTAAATATACAATTGAATCCTATCTTAATGGTAGATGGGGAGAGGGAATAAATGTATTTAAAGTTGGGTCTAAGCCAAAAATCGAATGCATTCAAATTATCCTTTAAAATGCTAAGTACTGCATACACCACTTTTTAAAAATACAATCCTGCAGAGTATCAATATATAAGTTATCCATCAAATATGAAGAATATTATTCCAAGAGGACTTGGAGATTAAATAATTTAAGTATCTCACTGGAACACTAAAAATTAATGAAGATTCCAACCTGTTCTTCCTATAACCGATTTTATCAGTTCCTTTCTTCATCATCTAGGAAGAAATAAAACTTATTTTCAATGCAACTGCATATATTTATGCAACTAGTATTTTATTGGATTTATATGAAAAATTTTGCTTTATGATGTTTCAAAATGTCCTATTTGTTTTATTTAGTAAGTTAAAATGCCACTTTCATTTTATTTTTGTTGGTCTAGCTTTTGTATGTGTATGTAAGAATAACAGCAGCAGAAAGAAACATGTTGGCAAAATCCTAATGAAAAATAGTGCTGCCAAGACTGGAACAAAGACTTGTGTGTTTTTGAATAGAAGAGCTAAAAAATAAGAACCTAAAACAATTATTATCCCTCTGAACTTAGACATCCTGCAAATAGAATATCATGCTAAAAATTCAGGAGCTACAAAAATAATCATAACATAACACTTAAAAATACATCTTTAGCAGATTCAAGGAAGGTACAAAATATTTTAATATTTGCTATACCTATCTGAGGAGACATAAACCAGCTGGTAAGTTCATATCTCCTCAAGAATATTAATTTCCTGGAATCTTCTTTGTAACTTTGTTATGTTAAAGCACACAGTGTCATTTGTGACTTAACCTAAATTTAGGAAAAGTGACAGGAACATAGTGTTTATCCTTCAAAATGAAAACTTCCTATATCTTGAATTTTAAAAATTTCAATTTTGACCTTAGGACTAGAAAAAAATTTGAATACCCTTCTATTATTTTCTTTCCAAAACATTTTTTTCCTCTTAAAAATACTCTATGGTATTTTTCTTTCTCTTTCTGGCTTACTTCACTTAGAAAGACATTCTCCAGTAACATCCATGTTTCTGCAAATGGCGTTATGCTGTCGGCTTTTACGGCTGAATAGTATTCCATTGTATAAATACCATATGAGATCACTCCTATGCGGAATCTAAACAAACAAACAAACAAACAAAAAACAAAAATACAAAACAGAAACAGACTCACAGACATAGAATACAAACTTGTGGTTGCCAGGGGGATGGAGGGGGTAAAGGGACTGGGATTTCAAAATGTAGAATAGATAAACAAGATTGTACTGTGTAGCACAGGGAAATATATACAGTATCCTGTGGTGGCTCACAGCAAAAGAGAAT